ATATCACTCACCTTAACCCCTTAAGGACCAAACTTATGGAATAAAAGGGAAACATGACATGTCACACATGTCATGTGTCCTTAAGGGGTTAAATCTCTTCCAGAACTACCTTCCCTCATCTTTGTGGGTGTTATTCTTCATGTAGTAACCACCTCCAGTCTGCCCGTGCTCCGCACACTCCCTTATTTCATTTGCAGTGCATGCGCTGTGGTTGCTATGCTTGGGAGAGAGGATAAATGTCCTATGGGAGGACATTCATGCTCTCCCTTATCAGTCAAATCATTGGCATAGAGTGAATTCCAAAAATGTAACAAAGGAGTGAGAAAAATAATTATTTTGAAAAAGGTTTTCTCCTAAGCTATACATTTGCAAGCCAAACTGCTTGTCACGGTCCCCCCTCCTCTTACCTGTGGGCGAGCGGCGTGCAGCTTCCCCTCGCAGCCGCTCGCGTCCTCGTCTCCCAGCGGCAGCATGTGTAACGCTGCATGCTGGGAGTCCCGGCTTTTATGTAAACGCCAGGGTCACTCACGTGACCCAGCGTTAAAGCCACAGTACCCTAATCACAGTGGGAGGTATAGATATCTCCCACGTGTGATTATTAATTCTGATTGAAAATTATCCAATCAGAATTAAGCACTGCTGTTAAATACTTACCTTTCCTGTCTCTCAGTGCCCTGCTGTGGTCTTGTGATACCTGTAGTGCAGTTTGCTTGTGTTGCTCTCTGGTTACCGATTATTTGGCTCGTTATTCCGATTTTCCTGTATTCTCCACTCCTTTGACCTCGGCTTGTTTCTCGTTCTCCCGTTTTCTGGCTCCCTTTACTTGGCTTGTCTCTTGACTATTCTTAGTGTGCTTAGCCCGGCCACTCTAAGGACCGGTATATCATCCTTCCTCTCTGTGACCTGTTAGCGTGTTAGGTTCCGGAATCCTGACACTGCTAGCACAATGTACAGGTTAAACTGTATGCCCTTTCAAATGAGCATATGCTGTAGAGAGGGTTATACAGGGAGTGCAGAATTATTAGGCAAATTAGTATTTTGATCACATCATCCTCTTTATGCATGTTGTCTTACTCCAAGCTGTATAGGCTCGAAAGCCTACTACCAATTAAGCATATTAGGTGATGTGCATCTCTGTAATGAGAAGGGGTGTGGTCTAATGACATCAACACCCTATATCAGGTGCATAATTATTAGGCAACTTCCTTTCCTTTGGCAAAATGGGTCAAAAGAAGGACTTGACAGGCTCAGAAAAGTCAAAAATAGTGAGATATCTTGCAGAGGGATGCAGCACTCTTTAAATTGCAAAGCTTCTGAAGCGTGATCATCGAACAATCAAGCGTTTCATTCAAAATAGTCAACAGGGTCGCAAGAAGCGTGTGGAAAAACCAAGGCGCAAAATAACTGCCCATCAACTGAGAAAAGTCAAGCGTGCAGCTGCCACGATGCCACTTGCCACCAGTTTGGCCATATTTCAGAGCTGCAACATCACTGGAGTGCCCAAAAGCACAAGGTGTGCAATACTCAGAGACATGGCCAAGGTAAGAAAGGCTGAAAGACGACCACCACTGAACAAGACACACAAGCTGAAACGTCAAGACTGGGCCAAGAAATATTTCAAGACTGATTTTCTAAGGTTTTATGGACTGATGAAATGAGAGTGAGTCTTGATGAGCCAGATGGATGGGCCCGTGGCTGGATTGGTAAAGGGCAGAGAGCTCCAGTCCGACTCAGACTCCAGCAAGGTGGAGGTGGAGTACTGGTTTGGGCTGGTATCATCAAAGATGAGCTTGTGGGGCCTTTTCGGGTTGAGGATGGTGTCAAGCTCAACTCCCAGTCCTACAGCCAGTTCCTGGAAGACACCTTCTTCAAGCAGTGGTACAGGAAGAAGTCTGCATCCTTCAAGAAAAACATGATTTTCATGTAGGACAATGCTCCATCACACGCGTCCAAGTACTCCACAGCGTGGCTGGCAAGAAAGGGTATAAAAGAAGGAAATCTAATGACATGGCCTCCTTGTTCACCTGATCTGAACCCCATTGAGAACCTGTGGTCCATCATCAAATGTGAGATTTTACAAGGAGGGAAAACAGTACACCTCTCTGAACAGTGTCTGGGAGGCTGTGGTTGCTGCTGCACGCAATGTTGATGGTGAACAGATCAAAACACTGACAGAATCCATGGATGGCAGGCTTTTTGAGTGTCCTTGCAAAGAAAGGTGGCTATATTGGTCACTGATTTGTTTTTGTTTTGTTTTTTGAATGTCAGAAATGTATATTTGTGAATGTTGAGATGTTATATTGGTTTCACTGGTAATAATAAATAATTGAAATGGGTATATATTTGTTTTTTGTTAAGTTGCCTAATAATTATGCACAGTAATAGTCACCTGTACACACAGATATCCCCCTAACATAGCTAAAACTAAAAACAAACTAAAAACTACTTCCAAAATATTCAGCTTTGATATTAATGAGTTTTTTGGGTTCATTGAGAACATGGTTGTTGTTCAATAATAAAATTAATCCTCAAAAATACAACTTGCCTAATAATTCTGCACTCCCTGTAGGTACCCTTTATATAGTGCTTATTTTATCCTTTAGTGCTCCTTAAAGGTGATCTGGACTGACTTACCTGCTGTGGCTGCTATGAGTGGAGAGCAGACACACTGCCTGTGAAAGGTCTCTACTGCTCTCCTTTATCAATTAATTCTTTGGCATAGAGTCTATGTTGAAGAATGTATTAACAGATGGGAAAAAACTATTTTTATAGAGGTTTTTCACACTATCTATACATTTGCTAGTAAAACTGCTGGCACTCTGTTGAGATTAAATTGTATGGTCTTTAGAAAGAGCAAAATTCATTTTTAACACTGTAGTTGCCCTTTAAGGGGTTAATATTTGCTTCACTCCACATAGATACATTTCTTGGTTTATGACCTAAAAATAATTATCAAGCTTTGATTAGAGTTGAGCGGACACCTGGATGTTCGGGTCCGGTGGGTTCAGACGAACTTTGAAAAAAAGTCAGGTTTCGGGCTCGAACTTGACCCCGAACCCCATTGAAGTCAATGGGGACCCGAACTTTTGGCCACAAAAATGCCTCTAAAAAACTCCTGGAAAGAGCTAGAGAGCTGCAAAAGCAAGTAAAATGGGGGTAAGAGTAGGACAAGTGATATCACTTAAAGTAACATTAAATACCAAAAAATTAAAAATACAGCTGAGCCATAAAATAGCACTAGATGGAATCTTAGATTTTAGCTTTGGAAGAACATAAATCAAAATCTAAAGCATGGCTGTCAGGAGGATCACCAGAATTATCCATTTGAGAGAGGGTTGGAGTGCAGGGTATTCTCTTTCATTGTTCAAACTGAGCTCAACTCCTGATGCATGGAGAAAAGGCCTTCACAAGCCTCTGCTATTGTGTACATAGTTTATACTAAGTGACCCATAGGTTGAGGAGGCGGTGACCGTGACGTTGAAAGAGGAAGCAGCGGTGGAGGAGGATTATGATGTAGCCAACACTGTATTTTATGGGGCTTTTTTAAATTGTGGTAGCTCACAAAATATTGGGACATACAAATAAAGAAATATTTGCGACCTGCGGTGCATTTCTTGCAGTCCTGATGCATGGAGAAAAGGCCTTCACAAGCCTCTGCTAATGTGTACCTAGTTTATACTAAGTGACCCATACTTTGAGGAGGCGGTGACCGTGGCGGTGGAGGAGGAGGTAGCCAACACTGTATTTTATGTTTGTTTTTGTTTTTTTATTGTGGTAGCCCACAAAATATTGGGACATAGAACAAAAGAAACATTTGCAGCCTGCGGTGCATTTCTTGCAGTCCTGATGCATGGAGAAAAGGCCTTCACAAGCCTCTGCTATTGTGTACCTAGTTTATACTAAGTGACCCATAGGTTGAAGAGGCGGTAACCTTGGCGGTGTAGGGGGAAGCAGTGGTGGAGGAGGAGGATGAGGTAGCCAACACTGTTTTTTTTTTTTTTGTAATTGTGGTAGCCCACAAAATATTGGGACATACAATAAAATAAACATTTGCGGCCTGCGGTGCATTTCTTGCAGTCCTGATGCATGGAGAAATGCTCAACTCCTGATGCATGGAGAAAAGGCCTTCACAAGCCTCTGCTATTGTGTACCTAGTTTATACTAAGTGACCCATAGGTTGCGGAGGTGGTGACTGTGGCGTTGGAGGAGGAGGATGAGGTAGCCAACACTGTTTTTTATATACATATATATATACATATATATATATATATTTTAATTGGGGAAGCCCCCAAAATATTGGGACATATAAAAAAAGACAACTCTCTTCCACAGAGTAGCTGTTGACATTATAGTTGCGCAGGAACTTTGTTGACTCTAGAGAACCTTGGGCAAATCGCATACCCCCCGTGACGGCAACTTTGCATGCGGATGTCAACCATATCAACTTTCGATGCCAGTTTCTGTGCCTACCGTGGTGACCACGGGTAACGGGGAATCAGGGTTCCATTTCATACAGGGACCCTGAGAAACGGCTACCACATGCAAGGAAGGCAGCAGGCGCACAAATGACCCACTCCCGACGCAGGAAGGTAGTGACGACAAATAACAATACAGGACTCTTTAGAGGCAGTTTAATGAGCCCACTTTAAATCCTTTAACTCTGATCAATTGGAGGGAAGTCTAGTGCAGAGCCACTGACCCTTGCGTGCTGCAGCTGAAACTCCACTATCGCCTGCTGCTGCTCGCACAGTCTCATAAGGCGGTGAGCGGGAAGGCCGAAGCTACGCTGCAGCGCAGACAGGCGAGCAGCAGCAGGGTGACAATGCCAAAAGTGCGCACAGCCACTACAGTGAATGTCACATCCTGTTCCAAGTTGCGGATCAGTCTGGTGGTGGCTTCTGGTATTAAGTACTCTTTCTACTGAAGCTGCATCAGGGTCCTTGTATGTGGTCGTACAAAAGCTGGTGCTCAACATCAGGGGACATGCAGTTACCCTGCACCACACCCTGCTAATCCATTCCACACTGTGACTCCTAACTTCAACATCAGGCATACTGGTTCCCAGTCGTCCGACCGCTGCCCAGACCGTGTCTGGGTCCTGGTCACCGGACTGCCCACCTCACTGTGAAACTACGAATGGATCGTTAAATCTGGTACGAACCCGAACTTTGCAGTTCGGGTTCACTCAAGTCTATTATGGATCCTTTGATCGCTACATGTATTACTTGGATAACTGGTAATTCTCGAGCTAATACATGCCGACGAGCGCTAGGGGACGGCCGCTCAGCTTTTGCACCCTGCTCCCTCTTATGCTGTGCTGGTGCCTCTGTGCGACCAGCGCCTCTTCCTCCAAACTGCACACATCACTCGCATGACCTTGATTCCATGTGGGGTATAGGACCTCATCATCCTCCACCTCATCTTCCACCCACTCCTCAACTCTGCCCTCCTTGCCTGTATGCACACTGCAGAAAGCCACAGCAGTTGGCACCTGTGTTTTTCCAGCATGTAAAGTCTGCAAAGGACATATGGAAATTGTTTTACAATTGTATCCAGGCAACAGTTTTCCCTATAAACTGACCTCTCAGTTTGACTTGTGAGGGTATTGTCCTAGAATTACAATATTGTTGAAGTACCTCTTAGCTATTGATAGCTGGTTTAAATATAGCAGCTTGTTATCTGGTAGTTTCTAGTGTAGAAAATATCAATCTGTTTTCTATCACTTAGATCTGTGTAACAAGTGTTGTAGGTGTGAAACAATATTACAAGTGACCGATGTAGTAAATTCGAATCAAAGTTCCATTTGCAAAAAAAATTCTCACCCATATTCTGTGGGTTATTGCATTTTTAAGATGTAGACTTATTGTATCACACTAGCCATTAACAGGTAGATTGTCTGGCATATTGTTTTGGTGTTTGGTTTTTAACTTTGTAGTTGTGTCTTTACACAATATAGAAATGTACATTAATGCTTCTGTATATGAAGCAATCACAATCACACTTATTTTTCACTGTTTTAAAAAAAAAAATCAGGCTACACAAAAATTGGTAATTCACAATATGACATCTGAAAAGCACATGAAAGGATGCTGTATGATTTTTAAAAAAAAAAGAACACACTACATGAAGGTCCTGTTCACTAGAGTGTGTAGTCATGAATGTAACCAGTAAAACTTTGTTGTTTACAGCCACTGGTTGGCCCATACATATTTTAAAACTTGTATAATTTTGTTGTAGCATAACTTGTAGATATGAAGAGCAGGCCCCTAAATTTACTATTTAGCAGATTAGCACTGAGAAAATTCGAATTTTTCAAGTGCGCTGTAAGCACACTTTTAGATGCTTCTATTTGACTCTCAGAGATGAAGTGCACCCCACTAAAATATTATTTAGCAATTTAGCACCAAAACAATTAAAATTTTACAATTGCGCTGTAACCGCAGTATTAGACGCTTCTATTTGACGCTCAGATATGAAGTGCTCGCCCCAAAATGTACTGTTTAGCAGTTTAGCACCAAAACAATTAGAATGTTTACAATTGTGCTGTAACCGCAGTATTAGACGCTTCTATTTGACTCTCAGATATGACGTGCACGCCCCAAAATGTACTATTTAGCAGTTTAGCACCAAAATAATTAGAATTTTTACAATTACCCTGTAACCGCAGCATTAGACGCTTCTATTTGACTCTAGGATATGAAGCAGGCCACAAAATGTACTATTTAGCAGATTAGCACCCAGAAAATAAGAATGTTTACCACTGCGCTGTAAGCGCACTATTAAACGCTTCTATTTGACTCTAAGATATGAAGAGCAGGCCACAAAATGTACTATTTAGCAGTTTAGCACCAATACAATTAGAATGTTTACAATTGCGCTGTAACCTCAGTATTAGACTCTTCGATTTCGCTCAGATATGAAGTGCACGCCCCAAAATGTACTATTTAGCAGTTTAGCACCAAAACAATTAGAATGTTTCAACTGCGCAGTAAGCACACTATTAGACGCTTCTATTTGACTCTCAGATACAAAGTGCACCGCAGGCCCCAAAATTTACTATTTAGCAGATTAGCAGCAAACCAATTAAAATGTTTACAACTGGGCAGTAAGCACACTATTAGATGCTTTGATTTGACTCTCAGATATGAAGAGCAGGCCACAAAATGTACTATTTAGCAGATTAGCACACATCATCTTCCACCCACTCCTCAACCCTGCCCTCCTTGCCGGTATGCACATTGCAGAAAGCCACAGCAGTCGGCACCTGTGTTTTTCCAGCATGTAAAGTCTGCAAAGGACATATGGAAATTGTTTTAGAATTGTATCCAGGCAACAGTTTTCCCTATAAACTGACCTCTCAGTTTGACTTGTGAGGGTATTGTCCTAGAATTACAATATTGTTGTGTACCTCTTAGCTATTGATCACTGGTTTAAATATAGCAGCTTGTTATCTGGTAGTTTCTAGTGTAGAAAATATCATGACTGCTGACCCCAAATACCAAAACCGTTAATAACGACATGACACCTGATTGTTGGGTAAGGGCAACGGCCACAGCTTTATTAAACTTTTACACAGCCAGCATTTCCACCTGTCAGCTGTTGGGGTGACTACCCAACAGACAGATACTCCAAGTCTTTATCCAGAGTTCGTACAGCCTGCCTTCGGCCATCAGCCCTAGCAGGCTGCGACTCCCCAAATCCTTTCCGTGCATTACGTGCGCTGGCCAGGAACTCCGCCACCGCGATGCCGGCCCTCCCTCTCTTTACCCGGCATCGTGCCCCCCGCAGCCAGCGCCTTTTCTATACCCGACTGCAGACCCGCATTAAAATGTCCAATCCTATTTGGTTCAGGTGCACTCCGTCCGCCCTCATCAAATTCCGATTGTCCCCTCTCCAGCTCCACATGCCGAACCGCCACACCACCAAGCCGCCGCACAAACCGAGAGATCGTCATGTTGAGCTTGCGCCTGCTCCGCTCCAGGCCCTTGGCATGCGGCAAGACCTGCCAGCCAGGACGGGGAACAATCTCCGACCAAATCAGAGTACAGTCTGAGAATAGTGCCAAACACCGGGCCAAGTCGTGCTTGACAGAGTGCATCAGATCCACCGATCTAACCCTCCCTAAATCATTACCTCCCGCATGGATCACAATTGTAACAGCCCCCGACATGAACCTGCTCAGGGCCACGCACTCCGGATAGACTTGCCTCCAGGACAGACCCCGAACACCCCTCCAGCGTACCCTTGCTATGTCCATGGAGATCCCTAGGTTCCGTCCATAGGAGCGAGACTGAGCCCGTCGAGCTGCCCAATATATAAATGAATGCCCCAAGATCCATACGTAACGGGGGACGCAACCTGAAACAAATTATAACAAATGTGGTCGAACATACAGCTGAAACCACCTAGAAGACCATCTGCCTAATCGCTGCACCACCGAACCTGCCAAACCCATACCGCTAGCCTGAGTAGCGGCCCCGATCCTGAAGGAATGAGGCGAGAACCCGGATGGATCTTGACCGCAGTCCACCAGAGCTCTACCCAACACTGACGCGAACTGAAAACGCGTAAGCGGGGACCCATCCGCATGCATCAACAACGAGGCCGCCGCCGGCCGACTCGCCATATACTGTTGGAAGAGCCGGACCGGACAATACTCACCACCATAGCTCCCCACCCTGAGCCACACACAAGCACCAGCTTGATCAGTCTTGGATCTGGGGATATGCAGGTCCACAAACCCATCCGCCCAACGCACATCAGACAGCAGGAGTGGAGAAACCAAACGGCGATTGGGGGCGACAAGCTCCCCCACCCGCAATGCCCCGAAGAAACACAGCGCAAAACTAACCTGAAACAACCGACACTCTGATACCGAGACACAGACCCCCGGCAACGCCCCCATCAACTGCCACAACAGCTCCACTGAAATCGGACGCCGCCGGTCCAGACGCCTCCGGGTCCTCCAACCACGCAGAACCCGCTGCAGGCAAAACTCCTTTGTTATGTCCCGCCAGCCTAGAAACCGAAACAAAAACGACAGAGCCGACAGCGCCCTCTCCGCCGATGCGCATGATTGACCTTGCTCCAGGAGCCTACTCATATAGCGTAACGTCACTGTGAACCAGGCAGACCCCGATGACATACGATCAGACCCCTCCACACACCGACCTGTACGCCTTCCACGTAGCCGCCGACAACGATTCCGACACCAAGGACATCAGCCCTCCGAAACCAGGTCCCATAAGTATGCCGGGCAGCGAAGACCCTCCTGATCTGCTTCCGGGGCCGACTCCCGAAAACGGTCCCACTGAAACCGAGAAAGAGAGTCAGCCACCACATTCAAAACCCCTGGAACATGCCGAGCCTGCAACCACAAATTAAACTGTAAGCTCAGCAGCACTAGGTGACGCAAGAGAGCCAGCACTGGAGGAGATGCAGACGATGATCGGTTAATCACATGGACCACACTCATGTTATCCGTGTGAAAAACCACCACCCGGTTCCGCAATTCGTCCCCCCACAGTGCTAGCGCCACCACTATGGGGAACAGCTCCAAGAACGTAAGGTTCTGCATCAACTCCAGCTCACGCCAT